TCAGATCAAGCTCAGATCCAAATTTTAGATGTGCAGGCCAGATCTGCAAATTTTATTTATTTATTTATTAAATTTTATTTTTTCTTTTTACTTATTTTTCTTTTACAGTGTTCAGAAAGGGGCCTCAGGTCCAGCTCACAAGTAGGGTGCGTGACAGGCATACCATCCCCACAACCCCTGATCGCCGCTGAGGACCTCTGAAGCAGGCACGGCGGGTGACAGACGTCGTTGCCTCTGGCTTCAGCGACGAACAGGCGGCCCCAGCTGCCTGTTTTCGCACAGAGTTTTGAGACAGGTGTAATGACCCGTCATAACACAGACTGAGAACACTGCTGATTTCTGAAGTTCTGCCGATGGAATGGATGCCTTGATGAGATTCCCGCATTCTGCTGTGTTTTCTAAGTCTGTCTGTGTGTGTGCGTGCTTGTGACCTGCATGCCTGTCTGAGTGCTTGTTGGTATGAGTGTGTGTGGGACCCGCAAGGGTACTTGCTTGTTTGGTAGGCCCGTAGGGCCGGTACTTACCTGTGGCCGTGGCATTGAGGGTTGTAGCAGGGAAAACACTCAAGTGGCGAAGCTAGCGGCCCTGTGGCCCTTGGGGTAGCGGAAAAACACTCAAGTAGGCCGGTAGGCCGATACTGCACCCCACTGCAGTTGACGTGAGGGGTACTGGAGGCCGAGCAGAAAAAGACAAAGTTGGCATTTTTAGAGTCCAGTAGCGGTAGGGTAGGTCTAGGCCGGTACGAGTCCAACCAGTCTGAGTCTAGAGCCTGTACGGGTAATATCAGGGTCTGCAATGATGTTTCCCTTCGAAACGGAGGAGGTACCGGTTGCTTGGAGAGGCCGAGCGGCCTGGAAGTCACCGCCCAAGAGGCGAGCAGGCCGCTATATCTAGAGGTGGAGGCAAGAGCTCCGCCTCATTCTTCAGTGTGCGAGTTGGGCGTCACGCTGCTGGAGCGCTAGGTGGAGGAGCGCTGGGCTCTACAGCGCTGCTGGGAGGAAGAAGCCGGGAGCTTCCACCTTGGCTATGGTGGAGCTCAGCCGGTTGGAGGAGGAGGGAGAAGGGGACCAAGGAGGAGAGTAGTAGGGTACTTACCTGGCTATGGTAGACACCATCTTCATCTCCTTGCTAGGCGCTGCATCAGGAAGGCCCCAGTGGGGGTAGTGCCGCATCAAGGAAGCTCGGACAGAGTCAGGCATGGCGGTTGAGTGGGCAGCGGCATAGCTGCTGAGTGATGACCTTGGRGTAGGGCAGCGGTGTAGCTGCTTTGGGTTGTCTTTGGTACCGGAGGCTGAAGCCTCAGTTGTCCGCCATAGCCTCGGCCTGTATGTGGAGGAAGAAGAAGGGCTGCCATGGCTATGGTGGACCTCATCTTGTGCCTGCAGTAGAAGTGGGATTCGGACATTGATTCTGGTTCAGCTGTTCAACATTA